TCAAACCTAAGATATCCTACCCCACCACAAACCTTGATTTTATCAAACTATTCATTGTGGTTGTGGTTCATACAGTACCTACTTTTGTTAACGTAGCAGATACACATACAGTTCCTACAAACGAACAACTATAATTATATTTAATGTTTCAACAATTCAACAGGATACAGTGTCACATTTTGTAGCCATGCCAGTACATTGTTTATTCTTTCTCAATCTTAATAACCTATGAGCTAATAGAGACATCTTACTGGTTCTTTTACAACTGGATCAATATAACACAACCTTAAAGGTAACATCAATTTAGTCATATAGTTTGATTATTCAATAATTTTATCAGATCCTGATACTTAACCAAGTATAATAAAAACACATTTGTCTTTAACATTCCTGTTACAAAGAAGCCTGATATAAAACTTGAAATGTGCTGATACCATAAACTTATGATGCCAAGTTTTATGTATAAAACACATGTATGATTACAGGGTATGGGATTTAAACTTTAACCAACAAATTCACAGAAAAGTGGTCAGTCTTATGCAACCTGGTTTTCCACAAATGTTCATTTAAAAAATGTATTCAAGTTATACATTTTAAATACTTTTTTTCTGAGAAATATTGTTGTATCAACTTTTTTATACAGTATACTATTTTTCTGTTTGTGGCTATATTTTAAAATATTTACTCAATGTCTCAAAATGACTTGGCACTCTGATTTTTTAAGAAAGTGTAGTGCCTTTGAAGCCTGAGTGGAAAATAAAATCAAAGCTTCTATTGTGGTATTGATTGTCCACAAACCAAAAAGAAAACAGTTGAACAAAATGAAAGAGAACCAAATCTAAATCTATACCTAAATTTTAAAAAGCAAAGCAAAACTGTGGCCTTTTTTCCATGCAGTTCTTTGCCCCTAGTGTACTCCACTAGCTCTCAAATGAGTACGGTACTCTATGCCTTTAACTGCAGAAGAATGGAGTTTATCTCATCTCTCTCCTAGGAGCTCTGCAAGTTATGTGACAGCTCCTGCAGACATTGTGCAGGTCCTGGCCCTGATCAGTGTCTGACATGCAAGCCTAACTTTGCTCTACACCCGCTGGAAAACCCGTGTTCCAGGTGCTGTGAGTCTAAACACAACAACACGGGCTGCTGCCACTGCACTGTCAATTCAGGTACCAAGGCCTTCGATGTTATCAGCAGGGAGTGGCATAGAACAACGAGTGATCTATTCATAAGAAAATCTAGTGAAAATAAGGTGAACTGAAGCTGGATACATATGATACTTTACACATTTTCTCTACAATCTGACAGCAACTTCAAAGTTTCAAACTATTTTGGAACAGCTTCATTTCCAATAGATTTCCAATATTTCTTTCACAAGCTGGCTAAGATAGTTCCCCTTTATCGGCATTAC